CAATTAGAAGTTTCACAAAACGCCAAATAAGAAATTTTGAATAAATAATTTCATTTCATCATTGTATTGTATTGTTTTACAATCTCAGATCATGACCTTTCAAATACCTCATGACCGAAGATCGAACAAACAAAATGCAGATCTGTAATATTTTCATTTACTATATTTGGTTTGAGCTGCGTAAATTCGGAATTAAAACTCCACCATAATCACAATGATAAATATATTTGTTTCCTTCCTTTTTTTTTTCTTTTTTTTAAAAAAAAAAAATCTTTAAAAAAGGTTCAGGCATTCAAGCGACACTATATTACAATGTTGTTAATGCAAGTCCCAAAAGAAATTCATTTATCGATTATAGAATCAATTCTAGAATCTGCCGATTCCGTTAATGAATTAAAACCGCTTTCATTCACATGTCGTCACTTCGCATACCTTTGTCTCAGCGAGATTTGGAAAATAAGACGGTTTACAGAAGACAGTTCATTGAACACACTTCGTAATACACTATCAAATAATCCATTAATGCCTTACGGAGATTTCATATTAAGATTGCAAGTGGATGAATATGATAAAGAATCATCGATTTGCATTGATGCTGAATTAATTAGATTTTTTGCTGAAAAATGTAATAATCTTAAAGAATTAATGTTAAGATTTGCTCTGAACAGTAAAGCGTATTTACTTCCTTTGGAAATGCTTGGTGATCGATTAACTAATCTCTCATTAGTAAATTATGAGCATTTTGATGATTATGCTGATGGACAAGAAGAACAGATGGAACTTTCTTCGTTGGTTAATAGTGGACAACAAATTTTGAAACAAGTGTATAATCATTATAAACCTTCTTCCTGTAAAGATTCGGATGACTTGCAAGTGGGATCAAAAAGAGATACCATCGATGATAATGGGAACGATGAGGCAGAATACCGCGATGCGTTAAGTGAAGCCGTTAAATTAGGATCCGTTAAAAGTGTTCGATTATATGATCCCAAAATGACTGAACGGGTGTGGGAAAGGTGAGAAAGAGATATCTTTTTAACGTTAAAAAAATTCTTTAATTTTTTTTTTTATTACCATTTACCATTTTCTGCTAACTGAAATAGTTTTACGAGCAATGCAAAAAATTCCTTGCAATCGATAAGGATAACGTTGAATAGTCAGAAATTAATAGCAGATCCATCAACGATTGTATTTTTATTTGGAAAATATTGTAAGAATTTAAGAATATTCGATTTTGACACATTTATACATCCCATCTCAAAAGAGTCCACGATGATATTATTGGAAAATTGTAAAAAATTAGAATATTTAGATATATCAGCATCGAGCGAAACAGTTCCATTTTTACATAAATCTAAATCAATCAAATCAATATATTTATCACATACAGTAAATGGGAAAGATTTAAATCAAATGAATGAAAGGATGGAGAATTTAAAAAGGTTATCAATTTTAAAAATTCAGGGGAAAAGTAATTTATCATTTTTGAAAAATTTTCCAAATTTAGAATACTTATCGATCGGAGATTTTGGTGAAATGAATGAAGAAGGATTTTTAAATGTTTCAAAGTTAAATTTAATCGAACTAGAATTAGTTAAAACTCGGAACATATCGGATGAAGCATTACTCAGATTTGGGTCAATGAAATCATTAACTAAGTTTAATATTAGAGATCGTTTACCTAATGTAACGCAAGAAGGTTGGATTAGTTTAGTTAAAAGGCCTGTCGATTGCCCTTCTTGGCGTATAATAACAATTGATGATGGTAGACAAATTAATCCTGAATTCTTCGAAACGTTAGAACACAATCATCCCAATTTAGAATTTTTGAGAATTAGGGGTTTTAAGTATGATAATCTACTAAAAGATGATTCTTTTGATAAATCGAAATTTAAGGAAGCTTGGTGGCATTATAAAAATAATTCTTATACTCCTACTCCTATTATTTATTGGCCTATTAGATACAACAAGCAGAAGCCTGGTAAGAAACAAAATCAAATTTTGAAAAAGGAAAATGTTTATTCTACTTTCGAGCAAGATGATTCTTATTAGGGGGTTATTAAATTGAGAATTTATGAAAGTTAGAAGAAACATGCGAATTACTAAATCAACTATTTTTGGATTTGTATAATGATGTTTTTTATCATTTCATTTAACCTAGACCCAATTTGATTTGTTCATAATCATTAGCAATAATAAATTTATATATACTAATTTTTAATAAAAGTTAATATTATTTATCAACGTAGTTCAGGGTTTTTGTAATTCATAACGTTCGCGTTGTTCTTATTAAGGAAATTGTT